GACAGCGAAAATATACAGACCTTTAACTCGAAGAAACCCAATCATACACTGGAAACGTCGACGAGTTCTGCAAGGAACCGAAACAGAATAAGCCCTCTGAATGGAGCATTATTATCAGTTTAGTTTCCATACTAAACGCATATTTACTGATATTCCTGATCAGTGAGTCTGATATTACCATCACCATTGAACTTTTAACAAGATAATTCATTTAAACAACCTACTAATCTTTCAATGAATTTTATCATAAAGTTAATAAACTTTAAAATAGGACTGGTGCCGGACGACAGCGGAACTTTCAAAGAAACCAAAGTGACTCACTTTCAAACACTGTTGCCGAAACTTTCATGGAATACTTGGAAAACGAGGCCCACGACATGAAACCAGATCTGCTTCACAGAGTCTCGAAAGATGTTGACAACATTTTTGCTGTCTGACAGTGATGATGAAAATAATAATATCAGATCTCCTCAATGACCCATTCGATCAAAAAATTGAGAAAAAAATTATCATGACAAAACAGAACCCCCATGTTTTGGGAAAGCTTTCGATACTGCCCCTGAATATATCACATAAAAATAATATTACCGCACTGAAACGGCGAAAATGCACAGCGTATAGACGGAAAAAATCGAAAATGCATCGCCCCTTTGCTTCTAGACGTCTAGGGGGACCATTTAAGCAGCTCATGGTATTTAAGCGCCTGCAGGCGAAAAATAATTCTGCTCCATCTTTACTCGGTTTCTTAATAATTAAGCCTGTAATTGCAATAAAACAAAAGTGTAATCATAAGTCCATCAAGTCGTAAAAACGCTAAAACTTAAACTCATCATTTAAATCACAAACTGTCATTAGCTACAGGAGAACAATCAGAATTCTGCTGCAGAGATTTCTCAAATAGGATATAAAACATTAAATAAACGTATATCCATAATTAACCCGTTAATTCGTCAATAGTATTATAAGCAGAAGAATAGCGTATATTAAACAAACCAGAAACACCAACATTGTCAAAAACGCAATTTTTCATCAACACAGAAAGCTTAGTGAAAAACTGCAAGGTTATTTAACAATTTATATTGTATTAACGCATTATAACAGTTCCAATAAACTTAAATTGTTTCATTAAATAACTTTGAAAATAATAATTCCTTAGATTCGGTTTACAAATAACCATATAACGGCAAGAAATATTACATAAGAAAAACAGGGACACAGGCGCTCAGAAAATAAGGGGAAAAGTTAAGTTTACCATCGTGAAAGATGATATGTTGGTGTTCTTTCGCTTCCATAACTGAGCCATTTGGCGCCTCCTTTTCATGAAGCTGATGATGTGGTTCTGTTTTCCATTTCTGTGCAATCAGCCAGAAGTGCCGTATTTTTTTTTAAAGGCAGAGTCTACAGTCATATGATAAGCGTATCGTGTGGGCTCTTGTTTCCTTCCCACAGAATGGTACTCATTAATTAACCTCGGAATTAAGAAAAGCGAGTGATCCCATAAGGGGCATGAACATGGGACCTATGGTAAATTCCTTGCTGAAGGGCAATTCGTGAATAAAACAAAATAAAATAAAATAAAACAAAGACCGCCTTCCAGCAGAACCGAGCCCTGCACTTCCGGAGTTCGAAGCAGATCTCGTAGACATTATAACACAGAGAACAAAGATTCATTTGTCAAGCTGCAGAAGAGGAGTGACCGCAGACGGGCGTAAAGGATACACGGTAACAAGGTACGCGGGAGGTGGGACAAAGCCTAGTCTCCAGCCAAATCAAGGAACAGTGCGAAAAGGGTAGAGTACATTGCACAGCACGGATACGTGATCGATCATCAAACTGTATCAGCATAAAAACACTGACTGAAAAAGTGCGTCAAAAAGACATTAATCATCCAGTCCTGCAACAACGTAAACAGGTACAAAGGCAAGGAAATCTGCACGGAATGGATGAGCCCTGTTGCCAAGAAACAGTCTTACCAGCAGCACCAAACGAAGGCTCGCCTGGTGACTCCTCGTGTAACAGTAGCTGCGAACGAAACTAACCCACTCAAAACCCTGAAGTCAACAAGTGTAGCGCCGGCGCCAAAAAGCCGGTAAATCGTCTGCTTGATCAAATTGTTTTAGATGTGAATAATTTAACGGTGTTTTATACTGTATTCAATCGAGGATCATCAGAAATTACTGCCTGCAGTTTGGCAGCTGCT